GTTGCTGATGCCTTGAGCTGCAAGAATTCATGCATGTTTAGTTACTTCTCAAAAAAATATTGAAGGACTTGGATCATACTAGAATTTAAATCAGAATCCACAAATATGGTGATACAATCTTCTATGTTGGATGAAGTTAAAGCAAACCAACAGAAGGATCCTCAACTAGTGAAAATAAAAAAGGATGTGGAAGACGACACTCGAAGAAAATTTAAAATACATGATGGATCCTTAAGGTTTGAAACTAGAGATTGTGTGCCTAACATACTGGAATTAAAGAAGATTCTAAAAGAGGCACACCACTCTGCATATACCATGCATCCTGGATCAACCAAAATATATAAAGATCTAAATCTATTAGTCGATAACATTAAAAAGGGGAGTGCTACTTGTGCTGCAGAGTGTTTCACTTGTTAACAAGTAAAAGCTAAACATCAAAGACCAGCTAGATTGGTCCAAAATTTAGATATACCAATGTGAAAATAGAAAAAGATCACCATGAATTTCAATACCAGTCTTCCAAAATTCTTGACAAAGAATGATGTTATATGGGTAATTGTTGACCAAGTTAGCACACTTTTTACCTATTAATACGAAATTTTGATTAGAGAAGCTAACTAAGATATACATCAACAAGATTGTGCGATTGCATGGCATACAAGTATGAATAGTCTCAGACAGAGATCCTAGGTTCACATCAGAATATTGGAAGAGTGTACATAGGACTTCGCAAACTAAACTAAATTTTAGCCTAGCTTATAATCCATAGATGGCAATTAGAAAGGACAATTCAAACATTTTGAGGATATGTTGAGATGTTGTGTGCTGCAAATGAAACGATCATGGGAAGACTATCTACCTTTAGCTGAGTTTGCATACAACAGCAGCTACCAAGCTAATATTAAGATGGCGCCTTATGAGCTTCTATATAGGAGTGCAGATCTCCTATTCATAGGGATGACATTGGCAAAAGAGTTCTTAGACTAGAGTTAGAACAAGTCATCAATAATATTCAACTAGTCAAAGAATGCTTTTGCATTGCACAAATCCATCAGAAGAGCTACGAGGTCATTAAGTTGTCTCCAGTTGACTTAATCAAGAGCGTACCATGGATTACAAAGAGCAAGTACTTCGACGACGAACTATCCGATATGTAATGTGAAATTACAATGGAAGAAACTTTGGAGATGGAGGATTTCATGCAAGAGAAGTATCCAAAACTCTTTGGAAAGTAAGGTATGTTAAATTTCAAGGATGAAACTCTTTATTTGGTGGGGGAGTCTTGGCTAATTCCCCATACCTTGCTGGCTTGTTGTCAAGCTCCCATTCAAAATTGGGTTAGATAGGTTTTTACCATTGGTAGAGAGAGGAAACAAGAGGACATGTTCCCCTCTAGCCTTACCCTTAAGAATAGTCATCATGCCTCCAATTCATATCCAATTCATATCCTATGCTTATATTTCTCTCTTTAATTGATGATTGAATAGTAGGTGAGGTTGAGAGAAATAAAAAGAAAAGGAGAGAAGAGAATAAGAAGAAAAGGGAGAAAGAGAAATATCAAGCCTTCTAAACCATACCACCTATCAATGTATAATCTAATATATATGAATGCATAGTGAGTTTTGTAGAGTTAAACATCTTAAAAATCAAATAAATTTGTACTGTGATCTTGAATTGTGATTTTGGTTGATTATACATATGAATTGCATAGTGAATTTTGTAGAGTTAAACATCTTAAAGATCAAATAGATTTGTACTGTGATCTTCAATTAGTGATTTTGGTTTAGGAGTACGATCTGTGGAAAAAAAAATCCGTCAAAGACCCGACCGCCAACCATCCTTGATTGCTGGCGAGTCTTCGATATTGAGTGTCACCTCCGGCGACCGCGGGAAGGAGTCAGGGGGCAGCCCTAGATCTATAGCAAAAAAAAAGGAGAAGAGGATTCATCGTAGCAGAATAAAGAAGAAGACTAAAGGGGAAATTTTTGTTTTAGACCCTAGGTTTCTAAAGATTTGTCAATAGTTACAAACTTAAAGGATAAAAGTGTAGTATTTCAAGTATAAATATGTATAGACCCCTCTTTTGACTAAAGTTTTCTGAAGAGACCAAACTGAGCAAAAGAATACAAGTTTTGACTAGGGAAAAATTAACTTTAGGTCCCTAAAACTTGTAGGGGTGGTGAACATACCCAAACAGAGTAGAATATGGTTAAAAATAAGGCTAGATAATTATCTATAGACCCCTATAGTTATCTCAATTTGTTTATAGTCCAAAAGTTTTAAAGGAATGTCATAAAATTTATGATAGATTGCTAAATTTAGTAATAAGCCTATGTGAATCCTATTTATGGGTCTTGATTACTATTTGATTATATTTGATTCTACATGGAGCTAGATTGTGGAGTGATTAGTACGAATTTATATTAGTTTGGTATTGATCTTATGTCTCATTATAATTAGGACCTTGTGGACATCAAAGGGGATCGAATTTTAGAGAATCCAATTAGTTTAGAGGTGACCTCATTTCTTACTAGTATTTTATATAAATCACATGAGTATTATATTTCATTGATTTTGTGCTCGAGAAATAATTATTTTAGTATTTTCATGTATATAAAATGAAATATGATTTGACCTATACTCTGGCAACGTATCCCAATAACATGATTTAGATTTCGTGTGATATATTAAAAGTAAATTTGATTTCGTATAAAATGTGTTGAATGATTTTGGTTCTCATACGATCTTAAATAAGTGTGAATATTGCTTTATTCGAAAGCTATTAAAAAGGAAGTGTTTCAGAAATGTTTCAACGATTTAACGAATTCAAGAAATTTTCTGTAACTTGGCATTTAAAACAAATAAATAAAAGAATCCGTAAAACTATTTTAATTGAGATGATGAGTTTTACACTTGTCCATTTGATTCAAAAAGTTTTATGATTCTGATAAGTAATCTGTTTTTTATTTAACAAGTGATTCTTGATGATTTCAAAACCCTCAGAAAGTCCACTATAAAGTGTTTTGTCTGTGTCTGTCATATGGTGAATACATTTTTATTTCCCTTTTAGGTATTTCTGAATCTGTTCTGACTCTTTTGGCATTTGTAATCTGGTCGGCAGCCTGTGATAGTATTAGGTGCATTCTATTACAAGGAATTATCTATTATGTGATGCATTTTACACATTCTCATGCTACTGGGCTATAATTCCTAGTCTTCGGGTGACCTACGAGGTGATTCTTACAACTATGTGAACTCATCGAAATTGAGATTCTGACATTTGACTATGCATTTATAAGTTTGAGAAAACGGCAACTTTTGATTTACCACAAATTTCATAGACCGTTTTTCTTTCCCAGTGTTTATCTTGGTCGCATGAAATCAGATTCAAGAATCTATGACAATATATTAAGTTTGCTTATAAAAAAATTTAAAGTATTGCATTCTTTCCTGAAAATATAATATTATGTTATTTTATGTAATATTTTGTCATCTCAGAATTTCAGGTACAAAACCTATAACTCACTATTTCCGAGAATTATTATTCTGTTAGAATTTAGGAACTTTAGTGGGAAATGTTCTCACTGATCTTTAGCTCACCCCGTCATTTTCAAAAAAAAAATAGATTTGGAGTAGCTTAGTTTATAGGTGAATTTTTAGTTATGACGTGTTGCTAGGAGGCGTTATATGGAAAAGCCCCTCTTTCGTGTCATATATAGCTTAACAATGTGTTTGGGTTTTGCAAAATGTTTAATGTAAGCACTTTCAGGTTGTACATACTTTATATAATATATATATAATATATATATATATATATATATATATATATATATATATATAGTTTGCTGTAAACTTCTATCATTAACATGTTTATATATGTTAAAAAAAGCTACACGATATGAAGGATCAGACTTGACACGTGCATAAGACTTATCTTGTACACGGGTCGTTGCTGTCATGTTTATCATCCACTGCAGTTTTGGAGCGTGACAATAGTTTGAACAATTTGTACATCTTTATTTTATGGATTGGTGTGAAAGTGCTAATCCTCCATTCATCGAGCATTTTCAATTTCGCATATTCTTAGTCTCAATAATTTTATTAAATAGTTTAGTCAATCATCCTAAATATGTATCTTCCAGACATTCCTAAAGTTCGACATCCTAAAGTTCGACAGGAATATCCGTGTCTGACAATTCTTTCAATTTTCATTTTTGCTTAAAAGCATCCTTAGCCTCAGTAATCCTAATTTTCCAGTGATATTTATAGTTTCTATTATGCAACTATGTTATCAGGCTCTAACTTCTAGGCTGATTCTACCCAATTTATGACGTTAAATTAAAACTTAGGTTCCATAGTCCTCCATTAGCTTATTAAAATACCTCCCTTGAAATGATATAAACGTTTCAAGGACTATAGCTTAAATCACACAGTTCATTATACAAAAAATAGGTGCTCAAACAACTATGCTCAAACTTAAACTTCAATTAATGCTGAATAGAATGACTAGGAAAATTTATTCACAGAAGCGCAACAACAGATCTCACCAACTATATGCAGTAACTTGCATGATACTATAGAAAAGAGTTCTTGCACTTAAATGTGCAATAAAATAGTTTTCATTCTCAAAACGGTTTATAACATAAATATAAAAGCATAAGCAGACTTTCAGATAAACATATTTAGTTAGGTATAAAAAAATTTATTTTAGAAACAACACTGAGAAATCGAAATGAAGGTATTGAATGATGGTTTAGAAGAAAGATAAAAAGCAACAGCAGAATGGTTGAATTAGAAATAGAAATATCTATAGAAGAATAATATATGTAGAAAGTAATATATTTGGTATTTTTCCACATACAGATGTTCCAAGTACAAAATGCCTCACAAATTTCCACAAATCTACACAATGCAACCTTCAAGAAGAAAGAACATATGCCAACAGAATTTAACAAACCTGAATAGCTGAGAGCAAACAGTAAATGAATATATTTACTTACTCAAACCAGGAATATCCTCAACTTTAATGGGCTTTTTAGGAATACCAGCTTCCTTCTGGAACAAAATGGACAAATTTGTTATTTTGATTTAAATAATATTAATATTTAATGCAAATAAAAAAGTTGGATTTCATTATATATAATGCATGATTAATTTCACACAATCCCCCCTAAACTTTAGGGTGTTTAGCAGAAAACCCTCCAGACTTTATAAATTAAAGAAAAACCCTTCTAAAATTTTAAATTTATAAAAAAACACTTTGAACTAGTAGAAATTTTCATAAAAGGCGTTAATGTAAAAGGTAAAAAGGTTTAAAGTACCCTTGTTACTATAAGGAACAAGGCAGTTGATGGAAGATAAGGTATGAACGGACCAAGGCAGCAAGGAACTTAGTAAAGAGAGTTCGTGGATGTCTCTGGAGACAAACTGGAGTGGGGTGAGGAGGAAGATAAGGCATGAACGGACCTTTTGTTTCACTGGACTCATCAAACTCTCAATCAGAAATTATACGTACATAGACAAGAGAGCTTGGAGCCAAACCTTTTGAAAATCAATTCCTGAATAGACAATGTGACAGTTGGAGAGTTCTTTTATCTTTTCATCTATTGCCTGCAATTTTAAGACAATATGAATATATTTAAACAAGCTATTCATGCACAGAGGCCACATAACAAATAAAAATTGAACTGTAGGAAAGAGGCCACTGCCCATTGGTACGACAAGGGTTGTCTGTGCATAAGTTCATTGAACCGGAAGTTAAATATTGCACCTTTTGAATCAAATAACTACTCATATTCTGATGCAACAATGCCACAAAAACAGACACAATCAGACAAGAATAGTCTCATGATATGCAAGCTTCAAACATAAAAAAGGAAATTCATACACAAAAAGAGGCATGCTAATTCAGGTACTAGGATTTCTACTTAGTGAAAGATGAGACATGTCAAGCTTGCTAAAAGGAGGCACAGGAATACACAACTAACTCAGAAAAGCTTCACCTAATTCATCAGAAATTGTGATGAGAAAAATACCTAATACCTATATGAAGAGTCACCTACATGATATTTCCCACTAGATGCTTGCTTTTTTGATATTTCATTAGATCAAAGAATCACCTACATGATATTTTAATGACTAAATAAATGGATGCTTATGTGGTGGCGGTGGCATTAGAAATATCTTGACATTTCATCCCCTACTGGGTTGTTTCAGCTCTACCCCTCACATTAGCAGCATCTAGCAGGACAAATATTCTAGTATTTTCTTTAGTAATCTTTAAAAAAATTGAAGTCTAGGAATAACTAAAAAAAATTCTGTTTAAAATTTTTAAACAATTCTGCTAGGTTGCTTCTGCTCTAACCCTCACATCAGTAGCATGTAGCACACCAGATGTTCTACTATTTTCTTCATTAATCTACATAGAGGTGAGGTCTAGTAATAACTTTAAAAATCTTTGTTTGAAGCTTTTAAAACCACCCAATTCTCCTTTCATTGGATATCACCCTTTCCTGCAGTCTTCTAGTACATTTTTCTTTCTGACATGAAAGAATCTTTTACCTAGTGCTTTTCTGTCTTTACCCCAATAAGCCCACAACTTAACAAGTCTTCAATCTCTCTTCCCCTAAGTTGCATGGGTACAGGTACGGGTACGAAACAAGGAAATTTTGTAAAAGGCAAGGTATGAGGACACGGCTATAAGTATATATTTTATGTATGGTAAGATGTATTAAAATTAATAATTTATATAAGATCAATATTTTTTCATTTACATGGATCAATATATTAGAAATATGTATTTTATGTATTAAAATTAATAATTTATATAAGATCAATATTTTTTTCATTTACATGGATCAATATAATAGAAATAGATGTGAAGTGTAGAATATACATCCAAGAAGTGTATGAGGAGCGTTTTAGATTAAAATATGTAGCATATAATTGAGTATAGGCTTGAACAAATGTATGCATATATTCAAGAAGTTTCCAAGAAGTTTAGATACTGTTATGGGTACGTGTTGGGTACAGGTACAGTTTCCAAATAGAAGTACCCAAGTAACATAGCCCTTACCCGTTACCAAGTAGTGGTAAGACCACAATCGTCCCTTCCAAAGTTCTAGATTACTACGTTATATTTCTGCAGGCAAATTGGTCTTCATTTTAAGCCTTCTCAGGGACAATTATTGATAAATGCAGCCTATACTAATAAACATTGCTCATATAAAGTTGATTAATGGTTCAAATTTCAACCAAAAGTCAAAATGTACAATATTGGGCTAATTTTAATCAAGGACAAGTTGAAAAAGACCCATATGATTTCATCTGAAGAAAGGCAGATGTATTCTAGAAGCTTGAAATTTCCTAATCCAATGATGGATATATATCTGAAACTGTCACAACATCCAAGCAACAAACACATAAAAAGACAGACACATGGAGGCAAAAACCATTGATCTCCACAAAAATGGAGTTGATGCCTCTCTTTGACAAAATGCTCTTTTGTCCTTTTCTTTTTCTTTTTCTTTTTTGTTTTTTGTTACAGCTTTTAAGCATAATTCTCGATGAAGAAGCACACAGACACAAGTCATTTTATTCCTAGCTTACAACCTGATCCCAACCTTGTTAACCTGGTGGCATGTTCATGGCAAGGACATTGTGAACCATGAATGACATAAAACAAGTTTATAAAAGCTAATTTTTCCAACATCGTAGTTATGAAATTAAATCTTACGCAACAAGGAGAAACTCCTCAAAGTCTTTGAAAATCATTACCAATGCAAATTAGTTCTGCCACCAAGGTTTCAGTGGCAAAGGGGCGAAGTTACAGGAAGTCTTTGTTCTAACTCCAGGCTATGGCCTTTTTAGGGGAAAAAAGAAATATAAAAAATACTTGTTTCTTCAAGTATCCAAGTATCATAGTAAACCATCTAGAGTAGATAGAGAATAGATCTGACCAGACCTGCACACACACATTTAACAAGCAAGTTGCCAGTCTGTTTTTGTTAGTGCATTCTCCTTAAATCCAACCACAAAAACAGAATCAGCTATAACTTAAATATGAAGCCCTTACCATCAAGTACAGAAAATTATGTAAAACAATTCCTAGTTCTTTAACCTTTCACTTAGAAAAATGAGTGGAACTAGGTCATTTGGTCCAACCTACAAATTGCTAAACTAACAAATTCATTATTTACCTGCCTTTGCCGTCGAATCATTGTAGAAAGATCGGTGTATGGAAGTTTTGGATCGATTTTGCATTCCATGAGTATGCCTCCATCATAATCTTTGATGTATCTGGTTAGCAAAAAAATCAGCGTCCAAAAGCCTGAGCACAACTATATCATGATTATACAGCAACTACAACAATAAAATAAAGCTTAAATAATCAAATTCTAGATTTATTTTTATTTTTATTTTATTTTTTGGAGGGGGAGGAGGCAGGGGAGGGTTGGTGGTTGGGGGAGGGGTGGGTAGAGGCGTGTTAGGATAGGCATTCTACATATTAAAGATATTCTAATGGTTCAAAATTTTAGAGTTTTTCATTAAAAGATAATTTTGATGTGGAATATTAAGAGAACTATATAAGACTCTTGACAATGCTTTTTAAAAACCATATACACGCCCCTTCAAAGCTTGAAATGACAAGGAAAAAAAGTACTGCATGAGAGTAAAATCGACTGGCTACGCTAACTCATGGAAAGTCGAGAGATTAAAAACAATGAACATACCCGTGCCATCTTTCTTTCTCCAGTGTTATCTCTTTTGTGAAGCCCTATAAGCATGCATTAAGAAAAATGTTAGGCATGATAAATTAAATTAGGCAAAGTACTATGAGAAAATAAAAGCATAACTTAACCTCCAAACTCTACAAAGCAGAAAGTCATTTAAAGCCTTGAGGGGGAAAAAATGAGAGCAGCTTCACTACATGGGTAACATTAAAATTCTATGTTAAGAAAACTAATCTTGACTGCATTAAAGAAAATTAGATGTCAACAACAAGAAGTTGATATGATTGATTGCACGTTTATTGCGACAGCGAAACAATATTAAACAAATGAATGAATTTCCAATAAATGTTATAAACTGTTTGGAGCTCTAGACAGCTAAAGTAGTATGTTTGCACTCCTTCACTTTCCACTCTTCTAAATGGCTCTCTCAATATTTTCTTTTTTGCTGAAATACAATGATGCGCTAGACAAGGTGATCCTCTTTCCATTTATACGTTCTTTCACATACCCAGTGAAAGCTTTTACTCTCTTATTGGTCAGAAAGTAGTTAAAAGCAATATCAAGACTACTGGGACTAATTATCTCTCTTACTTTCTCACTTAATTTTTTAAATGTTTTGCTATCCAGAGAATAAAAGTCTTTGAAGGCAACCAAACGTCTGTAATCTTTTTGGTAACTGCACTGGTCCGTACACTAAGAAGACTAAAAAGAGTTATCTCTAAATACCAATTCTTAAATGAATATCTTCTTTTTTCCGAGAAAGGCAAGGACTAGGTTCCTAAATGTATTGAGAGTTGGTCACAACTGATGTCAACAGCTGATGGTAACAAAAAACACACAGCATTATCACAATGACAACAATTGAAGGCTTCGCAAGATAAAAACTAACTTCTAGGACTTCAGATGTAGGTCTCTAAAATAAGCCTTATTTTGACAATCATCCCTAAAATGATTTAATAGCTATTAGGTCACCCACTTCTGTTAAGATGTAGGAAATTGTTCCTGTGTTTAGTCTGTCATCGTATTGAGCTACTATTGTTGGCTAAAAGACAATCATGGGTGACAATCTACCAGACTACCCAAGAAAGCTCAAGATCGTTCAGTTATTCAAAAAAGTTCAGAATTTTGTTCAAGTGTTGTCTTAATGTTATAAACAAGCTCAGTGAGCTCTTATCGAGCTGATGTAGAGTCTTGGTTAGAGCTTCTTGAGCATAATTACATTCCTCATAAATGCGTTCGGCTCTTGTTACAACATAAAATTGAAAAGAAAAAAAACGCATGCATCTACAAATGAAGAAAAATGTGTAAAGTCCACCTGTTTTGTAAAATAGCCAACTGCATTATTGTCTGCATATGTTAGAAAATGAGTGAGGCCATCAACATCGCGGACATGCTGTTTCAAGTGATTCATTAGTCTTGTCCCATAGCCTCGGACTTGTTCATCTGCTGTGATAGCACAAAAAGCTATCTCACCAAACTTCTGACTGTAAGAATCAAAACAAACATGTTAAGGGATAAATCATCGTTTCATAGCAATTAATTTCATCTATACTAATATAAGAAAAAGTCTTAAACAAAGAAAATTTATCAAACGCCATCAGTATAAAGTATGAAATCAAACACAAGGATTTTAGCAAATAACTTCTTACATTCTCAATACAGTGGACAGTGGGAAAACTATCTTCTCCAAAAAATTTGTAATTGATCTCACATCATTGAGAATATTCCACAAGCTTTTAGAATCCACTCTAGCAACTAATGAAAGAAAGTTTCAAGACAGAATAGAAATAATAAGAGAGCATGTACAGAAATACAAACGATGCAGGAAGTTCCCTATTGTTAGAATAAGTTATTTATATTTGGGTTAGACCTACATTGGGTATTTAAACCGCATCCAACATGGAGAGTGTAACTTATGTATTGCTTCACATATTAGATTCAATCTAATACGATATGTTAATTCACATTGGGTATCCAAGCCAATGTTTCTTTCTTTGAATCGACTCCATATTCTTCTCCACTAAGTAAGGGGGCCCTGGCAACATCTATTCCTCTTCCTCAGCCTATGCTTAGTTCTAAAGTTGAGGAAAATATGCATTGTCAAAACCAGTGTTGGTTTATTCTAGAAGGTCAAAGGTATCGGCACCTATCTCACCTCCAACTGATCTTCTGTCTACAGCTGAAGGTCCTACTCATCAAAAACTCCCTATTTCATCTGACCTAGATGTTCCTATTGCTCTTCAGAAAGATAAACGATCCACAACTGCCAGTGTTTTAAATATCGGCCGACATGTCGGACATGTCGGCCGATATAGCGGATTGAGGGGTCCAACGACACAAATCGGGGAAAAACAAGTCGCATATCGTTTTTTACCGACATATCGGCCATATCGGCGAAAAATCGGCCATATCGGCCGATTTTCCTGTTTGGAAAATCGGCCATATCGGCCGATTTTCCTGTTTTTTCTTTTTTTCTTCTTCACACGTGAATGTTTGGTTTGTGGACTATTTTGATTAATAATAGGCTAATGATTACTTGATGTTTGATCACTTGATTAATAATAGGCTAATTGATTAATAATAGGCTAATGATTATTGATTAATAAGGAGAGATTTATTTTATTTTAAATGTGCATATGAATGTTGAAATGTGCAGAGTCATGAAGTTATGAATGCTTAGATAGTTAGATTACATTTAGGGCATGATATTATACATATGTGGATCACCCGATATGACAATCCGATATTTAGTCCATGTCCCCCGATATATCCCCGATTTCCGCTATCCGACATGGATTTCAGCCGTCCGACATGAACCCGACATCCGATATTTAAAACCTTGACAACTGCACATCCGGTTACTCATTTTGTTTCGTATAATCGTCTTACCCCATCTTTTCACTTATTGGCCTTGTCTTTGTCCTCTGTGCCTATACCTGAAACATATCAGGAAGCAATAATTGTTCCACCCTGGAAAAACACTATAGATGAGATAGATGCTCTTGTTTCTTGAGGGACTTAGGACTAGATTCCTGCTCCCCTTAGATCTGATGTTATTGGTTGTCGTTGGGTCTTCACAGTCAAATATTAACAAGATGGTGCAGTAGGCAGATATAAAGCCTGACTTGTCGCTAAAGGCTTTACTCAGATGCATGATGTTGACTATCTTGAGACATTCTTGTAGAAAGGATTAGATTTAGTTTCTGTTTTAGAAAAGATTAGATTTAAATTCTGTTTTAGAAAAGATTAGATTTAGTTTCTGTTTTCCAGTTTTAGTTAGGATTCCTTATTTGAAGGAATTATGTTTCCTTATTTGGTGGACTGGAATGCCAGCCACATCTTCTATATATTAGGCTATAAATATTTCATTAAAAGTAAGAAAAATACTCAGATTTTCTTCATGGTATCAGAGCAAATATCTATGCGCTAGTCATTCTTCTTCATTCATCATTATCTGGCTGCCTCTTTCATCTGGCCATTCTTGTTCTTTCCCATGACCAAATACGGCATGGCTTTACAGACATCTTCCTCGGAGGTCACTTCCAGACCCGAGGTCAATTACCTAGTCCCTTCCGTCCCTGATTTTTCCTCGAATATCGTCACAAACCATAAACTCCATGGCCAGAATTATCTCCAATGGTCTCAATCTGTATTCATGTATATTTGCGGCAGAGGGAATGATGGACATCTCACCCGCGAAACTATGGTTCCAAAGACTGCAGATCCCAAACACCGATCCTGGAAGACTGATGATCGTCTTGTTATGTCTTGGCTGATAAATTCCATGACCACTGAAGTTGAAGAAAATTTTCTGCTTCACAAGACAGCAAAGGACATATGGGAGGCTGCACGTGAAACATACTCAAGCATGGAAAATACCTCAGAATTGTTTGAGGTTGAGACAAGATTATATGACCTCAAACAAGGAGATATGAGTGTCACTCAATATTTTAACACCCTCACACGCTGTTGGCTGCAATTAGATCTGTATGAGGCCTATTCCTGAAAATGTGCTGATGATTCTGCTTTGTATAAGCAGATTGTTGAGCAGAAAAGGACTATTCGATTTCTTCTTGGTCTAAATAAGGATCTAGATGAAGTCAAGGGGAGAGTCATAGGAATCAAGCTCTTTCCTAACCTTAGAGAGGCCTTTGCAGAAGTTAGAAGAGAGGAAAGTAGAAAGAAATTAATGCTGACAGAAATTAAACATGCAGTGGAAGGCTCGGCTTTGTTCACCCACAATTCCTCTCAACCTAATAGGTCTGAAAAAGGGTGGCCTTAGTGTGACCATTGCAAGAAATTTGGTCATGTCAAGGCTACTTGTTGGAAATTACATGGCAAACCAATAGATTGGAAGCCATCCCATACTCGGTTGGAAAGAGAAAACCGTGCAAATGTTAAAGTCCCCACAGAGAATAGTCCTTTCACCAGAGAGCAGATTGAAGCACTGTAGAAAATGCTGGGTCAAGTATCGAGTTCCGGACAACCATCTCAAGCACCTGTCGAACCACACACTAGTCTCCTTGCACACAAAGGTATCTTATCCTATGCCCATATTGTCCAAAATAAATCCTCGAAGCCATGGATAATCGACTCAGGAGCCTCAGATCACATGACTAGAGACATCAGCCTACCCAAAAATTATCAACCGTGCACTAGTAGTTCTGGAGTCCGAATAGTTGATGGCTCTTTATCACCTGTGGCAGGAATCGGATCAGTTCAATTGACCGAGGACCTTCTACTTTCTTCTGTCCTTTATGTTGCCAAATTGAACTGTAGTTTAATTTCCATCAGTCAACTTACTCTTGACCTCAATTGTGTGACTAAGTTTTATTCCAATCTTTGTGATTTTCAGGCAGTGGATTCGGGGAAGGTGATTGGCAGTGCTGAGATGCATAATGGTATGTATTTGCTTAAAAAAAATCTCCTCGGTAGACAAGTTCAATTGTCAGGTTTTGGTCCTACAGCAAATTCAGTCAAGTGTGTTTTAAGTTCTGTGTCTGTTTCCAATTCAGTTTCAATTGGAAGTCAAGTTATGTTGTGGCATTTTCGCCTTGGTCATCCAAACTTTGGTTATGTAGAGAAGTTGTTTCCCTATTTATTCATCAATAAAAGTTCGAATGTTTATCAATGTGAAATTTGTCAACTTGCAAAGCATACTAGAAAATTTATTCATCAATAAAAGTTCGAATGTTTATCAATGTGAAATTTGTCAACTTGCAAAGCATACTAGAAATATATATTCCAGTTTACAATACAAACCTTCACATCCATTCTGTCATTCATAGTGATATTTGGGGGCTCTCGCGTATCTAAAATATTAATGGGGCTAGGTGGTTTGTTACATTCATAGATGACCACACAAGAACTACTTGGACCTTTCTCATGAAAGAAAAATCAGAAACATCCACAATATTTCAATCCTTTCACTCCATGATTTCTACCTAATTTCAAAACAAGATCCAAATTCTTAAGACTGATAATGCCAGGGATTATTTTAATTCTATTCTTGGTTCTTATCTCTCCAAACATGGTATCATTCACATCAGTTCTTGTGTTGACACCCCACAACAAAATGGGGTTGCAGAAAGGAAAATTAGACACTTACTAGAAGTTGTCCGTGCCACCATGTTCACCAACAATGTTCCTAAATATTTCTGGGGGGAAGTCATCCTTATTGCTACCTACCTCATCAATAGGATGCCTAGTCGAGTCCTAAAATTCCAAACCCCTCGTCAGATACTCCTTAATGCCTATCCCCATATCCGCTCTTTTTCTTCTGACCTACCACTCAAAATCTTTGGTTGTTCCTCCTTTGTTCACATTCACCAACATCAACGCACCAAACTTGATCCATGATCCCTGAAGTGTATCATTATTGGTTACTCCCCCAACCAAAAAGGATACAAGTGTTACTCTCTAATCACTCAAAAAGTATACAACACCATGGATGTAACATTCTTTGAAAATCAGTCCTATTTTCCCAAATCTGACATTCAGGGGGAGAACTCAAGAGAATATCAGATTTGGGATCTTCTTCCAGACACCAATGATATGTCTACTCAACCAAAATCTGTCCCTATCATTGAAACTGTCCCAGAAACACAAGTCCCTATTTCTGTGCCTAAAACAGCCCCACTTAACTCAAATAGTCAAATCAGCCACAACTTGACACTCACAATCCTGAAACAGTTCCACTCGTGCCTATTCCTGTGCCTGAAACAACCCCACTTGACTCAAATCAGCCACAACTTGATACTCATAATCCTGAACTACGTGTCTATAGAAGGAGAAGACCTACTGAGCATATACATGACACCATTAGAACTCAGGATTCTCAATCATTGGAACCGGGTCCTCCTGCACCTGACAATCATGATAGTATGGAATCCTTATCATATGATGCTCTTGCTCCTATGATTGATGATTTGAATCAGCCCATTGCTCACAGGAAAGGTGTTAGGGGGTGCACTGGTCATCCCAT